GTTCGCGGCTCGAGGAGATAAGGTAGGCGTGTGTTGTTTGTCAATGATTTGCAGGAACACCGAGACTGAGGCTGGACTCACAGCCACACAGCACAACCTTCCCTCAGACCCTCCTGGCAGCGCCCAGATGTCTGTGGTGATCAATCACCTCCTGCCACTCCCATTTCCCTTCCCTTGACAATAAAAGCCTGAACTCTGTGCTTTCTTAAGGTGAGTTTGAGGTACCACTATGACTCCCATCTTTTTGGTTGGCACCTTGTTGATCAATAAACTTTCCCTTACTCAAAAAAAAAAAAAAAAAAAAAAAAAAGGCTGAAACTCTCAATAGTAAGTTCCAGTTGTCAGGTAAAAGACAGGAGATAAGGGGAGAATACTGAAGAGTAAAGGTATAAGCATGGAAACACTGTGTTAGAGCAAAACCAGCTCCGGGGACAAAGGCAGAAACATAGGTATGAGTAATGGTGTGCACATGTGCACACAGGCACACATGGATACGGGCACACGGAGGAGGAGAGACTGCATCTCCTCCCTTTCAGGCTTGCTTCATTCAGGGATGCACACCCCCGCCTGGCGATGACGGAATGGTAGGTGCTTTCTGATCACTGCGCTCCAGAGCGGAACCTGGAGGGAAGGAGATCACTGGAACCAGCCTGGGTCTCAGAAAAAGCCATGGTTGGGTGAGAAGTGATGAGGAATGGGGCCACTAGTCCTGAGAAGGTGTTGAAAAACTCTCTCAAGCCCAGCTGGTGTGGCTCAGTGGCTTGAGCATCATCCCATGCACCAAGAGGTTGCTGGTTCAATTCCCGGTCAGGGCTCATGCCTAGGTTTTGGGCTCGGTTCCCGGGAGGGGGCGCGTGCAGGAGGCAGCGGATTGATATTTCCATCTCTATCCCTTTCCTTTCCTCTCTCTCCTAAACACACACACACACACACACACACACACACACACAAAACAAACAAAAACCCCCAAAAACAATAACAACAACAAAAAAACAAAACAAAACCCACAATAAAAATACATTAAAAAAAAAGTCACTCAAATTTGCAAAGTTGTCATCCACCTTTTCTCATTCCACACTACCTCATCTTCCCCTCTCCACTTATCGATTTGGTTTAAAGACAATGTCTGTGATGAGGGTCCCTGTTCAGCTCCACTCAGGGACACTGAACAGACAATTCTCTGACCCATCCCTGTGCGGAAGCACGAGCGCCAGCCTGTCTGAGTGCTTCGGGCACTGACTTTAATCAGGGCCCTGTTATGGGCGAGGCATGTCTCACCCAGGTTACCCACTGCCTTTGCACATTTAACTATTATCTACGTTTCTCAGACGAGCAAATTGCTTGCAGAGCTAATAAGAGGTGGAAATGAGACTTCAAAGCCTCCCATGTTGAGAGGTGAGTGCAGAAAAAGCGCAGGGACAAACATAAGCCAAGGAGAGAGATGGCTTGTAATAGGCAATAACACTCTCCTGATTAGTCATGACTGACGTTGCTCTCACTCTAGACTCATCTCTGTCCTTCTTTAGGTGTCTGGGACATTCTGCTTCTTTGCCCACTGCCCCTTGTCAGTCTAAAAATCAATGGATTTTGCCATTTTATACTTTAATATGAAAGGTGTGAGCTTCTCAAGACAGAGGGGAATTTGCCCAGATGTTGTCAGCACTGGTTTCCATAGCTGACCTTTCTCCCTCCCTTTGCCCTTCTCCCCGTTTGCCACAGAGATCTGATGGCAGGACTGGGCTGCTCATCCATAGCTCTTGGGCTCTCTGGGGCAAGTAATCTGTTTCCTTAGAGTTGGAGGCAAAGAAACAGAGCATATGAGTGTGCTATGTAAGGGCGCCTGGGGGGTGGGGGGGAAGAGGGCAGGAGGTCGGGCAAATGGAAATCAGGTAACACTGTGTTTACTCACACTGCTTTCCCACTGACTGACACCATCCCTTCCTCCCAGCGGCCATCAGGGCAGCACTTATTACAGAGAGTGGTCCTTCATCCACTGTACAGATGAGCAAGCCGAGGCTAGAGAGACTAAGAAACGTGGCCACGCTCCCCGAGTGAGTAAACACGGAGTTGAGATACGCGCTTCCAATCCTGTCCTGACCTGTGTTCTCTAACTTTTAACTTCTCCTGTTCTAGGCCCAGGTTCCTTTTTAGAAACCCCTGACAAGAATGGGCTGCAACTCAAGAATATGAAAGCTGATATATTTTCAAGGTTGTCAAAACGATATGTTAAGAAATAAATTCATACACCTTAATATTTCCAAGAAAAGGAATTCATGATTCGGAAGGGATTACAATAATTCCATGTGTGAGTGATAATATATATATTTATTTTTTGCCCATTGCAGATGATTAGTGTAATTGATAGATGAGTAAAATAAATGTTTTAAATTTTATGTGATGACAACATTAAATTCTGGTCATGCTGTTCACATCTCTGACTGCATGGGGTGTGTGTGTGTGTCTCATCCTAGTGTAAAATGAGTGGAAGAGGGTGACCTTCCCCATGATATTGGTCCAAAGTGCACCCTGAGTCTTTTGGTTTCTATAGCAACTTTGAAAAGCATCCTCAAAAAATACTGTTAGCAACATGTGTGATGCTCTCCCGTGTCTCCCTCTTCCTTTCAGAGACATCCCTTTTGCTGATCAACCTCATGCTCTTCCTTCTGCTTCCGGAAGAGAACACGTAAACCTGCATCTTTCTAACGACAAACATTCCTCTGGAAACCAGCCGGGAAGGGATAGGAAACGGAACGACTAAGGCGCCATGCCTTGCTTTATTTTTTAACAGCTGCCCCCTGGCTTCTGGGTTCACCAGGTACCACTACTTGGAAGAGAAGTGCCTCTGTCAGTCAAAATCGTATAGGGAGAGAGGGTGTTCAAACTGGGTTCCCTGGGGAACACGAGGGGATCCCTCAGAAGGTCGGGGGGGGGGGGCAGCAGGCTGTGGGGACGTGAGCGATGAGAGCCGGGCTGTGCTGGCTTTGGGGGGAGGCTTTCCTATTGGGCACCTTGGAAAGTGTGTGGGGATGAAAAAGCTCTCCAGTCCCGAAGAAGTGTGAAAGCCACCGTATGCGGAACCAAAGCCCTCCCTCCCCAGGTGTTTGGGACCGGACTGTCTCCTCTGCTCTAAGGCAAGGGGAACACCCTTCACCAACACCCCGCATGGAACTCCCAAGTCATCACAAAATGACAGTGTAAAAGGCGAGGCGGCAAGGAAGGCGGCATGTGCACGGATGACAACACACGACAAGGGCTGCGATGGAAACGCGTGTGGGCTGTGACTCCCCCTGAATGCCGCCGGAGGCTGAGGCCGGCCAATCCCACAGAGGGACTCCGACCGTCAAACTGGGTCAGGCTGGTCCCAACGAGGAAGGCACGAGGGCGAGGAGCTGGCGGGTCAGCAGCCACTGCCACCAAATGCCTGCTGCTGCTCTAAGAACCAACTCAGTCCCCTTCTATTATTTTAATTTTTATTTTTTAAGTATATTTTATTGATTTTTTTTTACAGAGAGGAAGGGAGAGGGATAGAGAGCTAGAAACATCAATGAGAGAGAGACATCGACCAGCTGCCTCCTGCACACTCCCCACTGGGGATGTGCCCGCAGCCAAGGTACATGCCCTTGACCAGAATTGAACCTGGGACCTTTCAGTCCACAGACAGACGCTCTACCCACTGAGCCAAACCGGTTTCTGCCGTCCCCTTCTTTTGTAACCCGCTCTCAAAGCCCACTCGCTGGACGCTGTGGGACGCACACGGTACGCACTCAAAATCATCCAGCAGTCCCAGGGCCTGCCCTCCTCACCTGGTATCATGAATGCTTCCTTCTAATGACTCTGGAAACATTTGAGTCTTATCTCACCTTCTCAACGAAATCCTTGAAACGCAGAACTTCCTTCCTTCCTTCCTTCCTTCCTTCCTTCCTTCCTTCCTTCCTTCCTTCCTTCCTTCCTTCCTTCCTTCCCTCCCTCCCTCCCTCCCTCCCTCCCTCCCTCCCTCCCTTCTTTCTTTCTTTCTTTTTTAATATATATTTTATTGACTTTACAGAGAGGAAGGGAGAGGGATAGAGAGCTAGAAACATCGATGACAGAGAGACATCGACCAGCTGCCTCCTGCACACCCCCCCACTGGGGATGTGCCCGCAATCAAGGTACATGCCCTTGACCGGAACTGAACCCGGGACCCTTGGGTCCGCAGGCCGACGCTCTATCCATTGAGCCAAACTGGTTTCGGCGCAGAACCTAGTTTCATTCATCATCTCTGCACCCTGTGCTGAGCATTTCTGAATGAGGGTTTCCCGTCCCATCACCTGGAAGGTGGTCTGCTACTCTCTCAGCGTGGCAGTCAGAGCTGCGTGTGGGTTTTAAAGCACGCTTGACCCAATGGGTTTTAATGACCTTTCCTGTTCTTTCCAGGACAGTGAAATAACACCGTAGACAGGTGGCTCAGCTTTCTGGGCATGCGGGGAAATACAGAGCAAAAAGCCTCTGTTATGCCATTTCCCCCCTTCGCCTGGGTCACCGGAGGGTTGGAGGTAAAAATTCACAAAACAATGTGTGTCAAACGGGCTCCTACATGTGCCGATCCACCCACATCCGCCCAGGTTTTCCCTCACTCTCTGCTCCGGGAATCGCCAACGAAGCCCGACACCCAGGCAGCCGGGAGAGGTGCCTGGTGGCTGACGTGCCGTCCAGGTATTTATTTTCAGCTTACTCTTGCTCTGATATCGATCTGCCATGAAGGGTGATGATGATGATGATGATGATGATGAAGAAAATCGTGACTTAGGATGACAGCAGAAAAATCCCCTGAACACGATGGCCGAGCCCCTTTCGCCCATTATCTCATTAACGTGTACAACCAACCGCCTTACGAGGCCGCGGTATGACGGCTTCCTCGTAACACGTGATCAGAGCACACACGACCCAGCGAGGCAGCCACCGGACCAAGGCCCCTGGGCCTCTGTCACCGCGCGGGGGAGGGGCGCGGGGAGGGCACTCACCTGGGAAGCACAGAGTTGGGCGGCCTGGATTTCGCAGGGGAGGTGACCTTAGGTTCTGGCCCAGCGCTCCCTGCAGACCCCGGCAGAGGGTCCTGCGCCGGCCCGGCTGGGTTTGGAAGTACTACTTCCCTCGCCGGAGTCAGAAGATGCTCTTTATCCTTAACTTCCTTCTCTCGGGACCGGGCTTTGTGTTCCGCCAGGAGGAGGTCAAACTGCTTTTTCCTGCCGGGGACTGCCCTCCGATGGCTCAGCGAGTGTGTCTGAGGAGAAGAGAGACGAGAAAAAGCACGGCCTCTTTGATCAGCACATACACCTGCTTCCCGGGGCGGGGGCCCTCCGCCTCAGACCCCGCCATTCGTGGGGACGTGGCAGGCGCTTGCCAAAGTCAACTTCAAGGCAACAGCAGCTCCCGTGCGGAGGCTGGGAAGAGGAGGCAGAGACCGCACCGACGCAACCATGCTCTGCTCTCCTGGTGTCAAAAAGCCAGGGCTTCCTCCGGGGAAAAAAAAAAAAAAAAAAAAAAAAGGAAAAAGAAAAAAAATGGCACAAGATGACAAGCTTCAGCGCAGAGCCCGGGAGAGCTCAGAGCTCGGACGAGAGGCCAGCGAGAGCGCCTAGAGCTGATCCCGGTGCGGCTGCGGGAGGCGTGCGGTGGCCCGGGCACACAGAGCCCCCGAGCAGAGAGGGCCACGGCCTCGGTCCCAAGAAGCACTAAGCAGTTCAGGAACGAGGCATGCGGCCGGCGGGGGCTACCTATAGCGGCAGCCGCCTTCCGCCCGCTGTGCCCCTGGCCGCCCCGGTGTGGCCGGCTCGGGGGCGCGGCAGGACTGGCTCTCAGGGCGCTGCTGCCGCTGCCAACGCCGCCGCCTCCTGCATACATTACATCGGAGCAGGGCTCCGAGCCGCCTGTGAGTGCCTATAAATACAATTTACTGTCTGGCCTCACGAGGGACAGGGGGGGAAGCCTTTTTTTTTTTTTTTTTTCCTCCCTTCTTAAAAAGCCAGCCAGCTCCAGGCAGGCCCCTCCGCTGCCATGGCAGAGAAGAAAGCATTTCCCTTACAAAGAACAGCTGGGGGTCATGTCTAGGTTCCACACCCTGCCGTGCGCAGAGAGTGGCATGCAAACATTCCTGACAAAGGCCCCACCGGCGAGAGCAGGAGGTATTCTTTAGGGAAAGGAGAAATACCTTGCAGGTGAGGGATCTTGTGCAAGGTTTCTTTGTCTCGGGATCCAACACTCCACAGTGTTTATTTGGGTCAAATTCTCTCTCTGGTTCAGGAAACAAACAAAAAATATAAGGAGAAAGGAGACGAAGTAGGAGTTGGCATTAAGACTACATTAAAAAAAAAAAATAATGCACATTTGCACCAACAAGTGAGACGTTGTCAGGCAATCTGTTTTTATTGATTTGTTTATTTTTTTTTTATTACTCTTCCACCGACTGCTAAAATGCTTCCAGAAACCGCTCAGGGGAACCTGGTGCGCCCCATCTGAACCCGGAGCTCCCTAGTCCGGCTTCCGAGGGGTGCGGAACGCAGCGCACAAGGCCCGGGGCCCGGGGGTGGGGCGGGCCCTGGGGAGGAGGAGCCCTCCCACTCTTACGCTGTATGTCACCGGGAAGCTTCTCCAGGAACTTGGCCTTTGGGGCCTGGCTAACAGCAGACCAGGGGGAGCCACCTGAGTGAGGCCCACCGGCCACTTTTTCCTGGGCCATTCCAAGAGCACCCCGCACCTCCCCAGCCCCGCCTGCCTTCCTGCTAGCTTCAGCCATGTAGGCGGGGACTGTTCTCTGGCATGCCAAGAGGGACCCTGCCCCTCTCTCTCCCGATTTGCAGAGTGCTCAGTACAAGGATTTCCAGACAGCCATGGTGACCGGAAAGACAATTCACCCGATTCAGGAACACCCTGGCGCTGCCCTAGGCAGGGGCAGGGCCAGGGGAAGTCTGGGTGCGTGCCTTTCGTCGATCTAAGCCGAAAGGTGCATCGAGGGCAGAGTCTGCCCGTTGCGCAGCCTCAGCCTCAGCTCTGTCCCAGCACGGGACTGTGGCTGTGAATGGGGTGGCTGCAGGGCGGCCAGGCTTTGCCCACGGTCTGCGGTTTGCCTTCCCACTGGACGGTGATGTTGGGAGTTTGCTTCTAAGCAACGTTCTCTTTTCAGGCCCCTTTTGGATCCTTTGTCCCCTCTGGATCACAAAAACTCTCTCCTTTCCAGGAAAATGGGGCCACCGCTTGAGGACCCTACCTGTGGGCGTTAAAGTGCTGCCCCCAGGTGCCTCCTGCTTCTGGCAGGCGCCCAGCACACCCCTGCCTCCTGCAGAGCAGGGAGGACACAGCCCAGAGAGCAGGGAGGACTCAGCTCCTCTGGGCGTTCAGGAGCGTGCTGGGGCGGGTGAGGGCAGTGTCCTGAAGAAGCCTGAGTAGCTGCACACTAAAAAGAAGTTACCTAGCCTGAAACACTGTCTGGAATTGGTGGCGTAAACCCTGAGCATACTCCATGAATGTGTTCTATTAAAAAAAAAAAAAAGAAGTTTGGGGGTCCCTGGCCAGTGTGGCTCAGTTGGTTGGCCATCATCTTGTGCACCCAAAGGTTGCCAGTTCGATTCCCAGGTAAGGGCTCGATCTCCAGTAAGGAGTGTGCAGGAGACAGCCAACTGATGGTCTGCTCTCACATCGATGTTTTTTTTTTTTCTTTCTCTCCCTCTTCCTTCCTCTCTCTTTCAAAATCAAGAGACTGTTCTTTAAAAAAAAAAAAAAAAAAAAAAAAAAAGGTTTGGGGGCCATGGGGTGGCTGTGATGGTGGCAATAATAATAACGTGTGCAACAAAACCATTCCTACACCCAAGACAGATGACCTGGTTGGCTATCAAAATGCCCTCCCGGCTTTCCTTTTTCCTCCTCCTCCTCCTCCTTCTTCTTCTTCTTCCTCTTTTTTTTTTTTTTTTTTTTAAGTTTCACTTTTAAGACTAGAAATGGCTAGCCCTGGAAATGCCCATTTCCCGTCTCTCTCTGCCCGCCCAGGAGAGCCTGGCTGGGAGTTCTGTCCCCTGGGCTGTCAGAGTCAGGCGGGTGCCCAGGTCCACGGAGTCCGGGCCCACACCAGCCTGCCTGGTGGCCTGGAACTGGGCAGGTTGTTTGGCCGGGGGCGGGAGCTGGATGCCAAACGTGAAAGCGAGATAGAAGCAAAAGACCCACTGAGACAAAACAACCAACAAAATGCAAAACCAACAAACAGCAAACCCCCCCGAAAAAACCCAAACCATGGCCGAATGGGGTCAAGGCTGGAAGCCTGGGTCATGCTTCTGCTACAGGAAGCTGCCACGGGTGTGTGTGTGTGTGTGTGCTGTGGCCACCAGGCCTGTGTTCCCCCAGGGACGCTGCCACCCACGTCCCATCCTGGAGGAGAACCGGGCGTCGGGGGTCCCCGCACACAGGGAGACCTCCCACCTGCGGGGGACACCGGCTCCAGCTCTCTTTCCTGATGGTGGGTGAACAGCACAAGACGAGGTTTTTGGGGTATAATGCTTTTGTCATTTGAATGTTTTGGGCTGAGGTACTTTTAAGAATATATATATATATATATTTTTTAAAAAGTTACAGACGTAAGCTAGAAAAACTAAAATACAGATAAACACAGAGTCAAAAATAAAAATGACCCCCCATTTTGGGGTGCCTAAGAAATATGCTCAGCCTGGCCGGCATGGATCAGTGGTTCAGTGTCCACCTGTGAACCAGGAGGTCACAGTTCAATTCCTGGTCAGGGCACAAGCTCAGGTTGCGGACTCGATCCCCAGTGTTGTGTGATCCCGAGTGTGGGGCGTGCAGAAGGTAAGCCGATCAACGATTCACATCATTGATATTTCTATCTCTCCCTCCCTCTCCCTTCCTCTCTGAAATCAATAAAATATTAAAAAAAAGTATGGTCATACTAAAAGATATAGTTTATTTTTCACAGGGTGGTTATATATAGATATATATATTTATTTATTTTAGAGGCCTGGTGCATGGATTTGTGCATGGATGAGGTCCAGCCAGCCTGGCCACGGGGGAAGGGACATGGGTGGTTGGCCAGCCTGCCTGCTGGTCGAACTCCTGGTCGAGGGGACAATTTGCATATTAACCTTTTGTTATATAAGATATACACTGAATGGCCAGATTATTATGCATTCAGAGATGATAATAATCTGGCCACTCAGTGTCTGTGTGTGTGTGTGTGTGTGTGTGTGTGTGTGTGTATATATATATATATATATATATATATATATATATATAAAAGCATAATATTCTAATTAGACCAGACATCCTTCAGGATGAAGCTGGGGCTGTGAGAGAAGCCCAGGGCCCAGGGTGCTAGAGGGAAGCCAGAGCTGGCAGCTGGGGAAGGAAGGCCTACTCTTGCACGAATTTTGTGCATTGGGCCTCATATATATATATATATATATATATATATACACACACATATACATATATGTATGTAAATATATATATGTATATATACATATATATGTGTGTATGTATGTGTGTGTGTGTATGTATGTATATATATATATATATATATATATATATATATATATATATTTTTTTTTTTTTTTTTTTTTTTTTTTCCTGTCAAGATTAGATAAATTCCCATGGTCATGAAGCTTAATTTGGTTTTTGAAAAAAAGCGGAATGGCTAGATTTAGTTTCACAACACATCACATGGGAGCCTCTAAGAGAAAACCACTGCCCCAAAGACTGGCCGTGGGCACCTTTCCAGGCACCCTTGTGCCGCTCAGGCCACCAAGCAGCACACCCAGGAGATGTCCCCGCCAGCCCACCTGTGGGGTGAACCCGAGCGTTCCCAAACAGAAACCCCAACGGTTACTCGGGGAAGGCAGCGGCCGCCCCGACCACAGGATCAGCCCGGAAACCAGCGGGGCCACAGGACAGAGGCGGCGTCCTCCTGCGGAGCAGCTGCTGGCGGGGCGGTCCCAAGCCTGCCCTGAGCCGCTGCGAGATGGCACGGGTGTGGTCAGACCTCACGGCAGAGAGGCCTCCGCAAAACCCAGGGGCGGCTCAGCGGGTCAGTGCGATAAGACCTCAGAAGGCGCGGGCTGCTGTGGTGGGTGTAGACTCAGAGCATCCTGCCTCGTGGGTCACTAGGGTAACTCGTTAAACGCTGGGAGCTGAGTGAGAGCCTCATCCGGCCCAGGGTATAAGAGAACCAGCTCTTTATTGCATGTTTAGGTGGGGGTCCTGCCTGCAGGTCAATTCTATGCCCCTCTGCCATTCCCCGATCCCCCACCACGCCCCTAAAACGAAACAGACCTGCTTAATTACAAGAACACATCACTCCTTGGTTACAGCCGTGACTCAGTTTCAGCCTGGCCGTGCGTCGGACTCGAGGGACACGGACACGTACCTGAAAGTCTCCTGTAAGGCTTGCTGTTGTTTTTGGTGCCGTTTTGGTGTTTCCTGTCTATCGTGGTGGACAGAATCGCTTTGCCGTTTAGGATCTTCTCCGGGGAAGGCGGCACTGCCTTGGGCATCAAGACCGGCTTCGTTAAGGGCGGGGCGGAGGCGGCCGAGGTCGAGGTGGCGGTGGAGCAGGCGGTGGCGGCAGCGGTGGTGGTGGTAGAGTTCATTTTGACATGGGCACCATCTGCCTTCACTAGGTTAGGAATTTTCTCTAAACTGACTACAGGAACCGGAACGCTGGAAAATAAATGAACATGCACATACACACACGCACACACACACACACATACAGTTGCCGTCTTTGGTACATCGGGTCCGCTGAGAAGCTACACTTGCTCATCGTGATAGAACACTCCCGTATCACTCCTCCTATAATAAGCGAGCAGCATGATTCCCGTTTGGATGGGAAGGAGGTTCGTGCCTCGCTCGAAAAGGACCAACTGGGGTGCAGAAGCTGGCATGGTGCCGGGGATGGCATCAGAGCTGACTGATAACCTCTCGGACCCGCTGTTCCCATAGATCCTGCAGCTCCTCCTTCCCAGGCCCTACATCGTTGGCTGTTTCCGAGACGGCATCTTGGGGAGGACAAGGGACAGAGCGGGAACCAGCACCCGGGACTCCCACGCCAGTGCCCTCCCATCACTAAGTCGCTCACAGGCTGGGAGGGCACCGGAACTGAAGGCCAGGCTCTGACCATCCAGTGCAGAATGCTGGCCATCGGCAATCGGGTCTGACATCCGCTTAGCTGACAGGCTCGCACCACGCGGAGGCAGGGCTGCAGGCCAGCGGGCCACGCTGCAGGCTGCCGGGGACTCCCGGACCACGCTCACATCCCGGGGACGGGCTCCAACGGAGCGAGCCGCCACGGAACATTATCTAATATTCCATTTTAGGCAGCTAGTTATGTAAATAGGTAGCTCTCCAGGCTGGCAGGTGAGAGGATGAATTTTAAGAAGACAAGAGCACAAAGGTGTGTATGTCTGCACTTCAGAATCTGTCACCTGAGCCTCACTCCCCTGCTATGTCTTCCGGAAGGTATGTGCATTTGATTTCTGTGCATTTAATACCAGAGGACCCTCTGTCTGGGGTGTGTGTGGGGGGGGGGTAGGGTGAGAGGGGAGCTGGGGAGGACTCTGTCTAGGGTTTTAAAAGATAAGACGAATGAGCGTTGCTTTGGTTCCTGAACTAGGTTTCCTTTCCTCCTTGCAGGAAGGCGGAACACTACTGCTTCAGCCCCCCAATCATCTGCCAGCCGACTTAGCTATTTGAATGCCAAGTGCTCTAGACTCTGGCTTAGCCTGCAGACAATGCAGGGCAGAAAGAGAGACTGTTTTGACAGGAGAGGAATCTTATTTGTCCACATGGCTGGTTGGGTCTCCCGTCTCTGCGATTTATTCACAGATCGTTTCTTTGATCTTTTTTGTTCGTGAAATCATGTCAGCAACCCCCTGCCTCTTTCCCGAACCCGAAACAGAATCACGGAGGTTATTTTTGGGTCTTTCTCCGCAATGGGGCAGATTGCGGCTGGGCTTCACCCTCCCCATCCCCCCCCCCCCCCCCAGGACCATCTGCTTTCCCGGCCCCGGGAAGGGCGGGCGCTCTGGGGTGTCAGCGCCCACGGGAGGGTAAGTGGAACCGTGGTTTCCAGCAATCCGACAAGGCACTGACAACTCCCCCTCCATCATGGCATCCCAGTCACTGAGCCGGACGCATGCTACTTTCTATTCCGTGGCAATTCTCAAAGCGCTCCCCTATTGCTGGGGAACAGCATGAGAAGCCCTTGAAAAGCCAGCACACTGAGAAGTTACAAAGCCATTACCTGGTGAGATTAGTGATGCATTCCAGGTGGTAAAAAATAAAAAAATAGAAAAAAATGCAAGACCACGGACGATGCACTTCTTCTAGGATCATCCCTTCGCTCAATTGTAAAGGCACAAACGAGAGAAGTCAGGGATTTGAAACGACAGCAAACCCACTTTCATAGCAGCCATTATTCACAATAGCCGAAAGGGGGACGCAAACCCAAGTGTCCACGGCCAGAGAGTGGATAAACAAAACGAGAGCTCTACGTACAACAAACTGCTACTCAGCCTTAGAAAGGAAGCTCTGGCACACGAATGAATGGTGGAGACCATATGCTAAGTGAAATGAGCCAGTCACAAAAAGACACCCATGGTGTGATTCCACTTATATGAGGTATCTGGTATGGTCAAGTTCACAGACACAGGGAGTCAAATGGTGGTTGCCAGGGGCTGGGGGCAGGGGAGACTAGGAAGTTGTAACTGAATGGGTACAGAGTTTCAGTTTTTATTTATTTAATTATTATATTTTAAAAAATATATTTTATTGATTTTATACAGAGAGGAAGGGAGAGAGATAGAGAGTTAGAAACATCGATGAGAGAGAGTCATCGATCAGCTGCCTCTTGCACACCCCGTACTGGGGATATGCCCGCAACCAAGGTACATGCCCTTGACCGGAATCGAACCCGGGACCCTTCAGTCCCCAAGCAGACGCTCTTTCCATTGAGCCAAACCGGTCCCGGCTTAATTATTTATTTTTAATGATAATTGCCATGCTTTAATTTTGGAATGTATTCTATGTTTCTATATTTTTAAACTTTCTTTTTAAAAAAGTAGATTTTATTGATTTTTCACAGAGAGGAAGGGAGAGAGATAGAGAGCTAGAAACATTGACCAGCTGCCTCCTGCACACCCCCTACTGGGGATGTGCCCGCAACCAATGTACAAGCCCTTAACCGGAATCGAACCTGGGACTTTTCAGTCCGCAGACCGACACTCTACCACTGAGCCAAACCGGTTTCGGCAGAGTTTCAGTTTTTTAAAAAACACGCTTTTTTGTTGATTTCAGAGAGAGAAAGGGAGAGCGACAAATATCAATGATGAGAGAGTACCATTGATCAGCTGCCTCCTGCACGCCCTCTATTGGGGATGGAGCCCACAACTTGACCAAGAATCTAACTGTGACCTCTTGGTTAATGGGCCAACAATCAACCACTGAGCCACACTGGCCGGGCGAGTTTTTCGGTTTTGAGGATGAAGAGTTCTGGAGATTGGCTGCACAACAATGTGAATGTACTTAACACTATTGAACTGTACATAAAAACGGTTATGATGATACATTTCATGTGTATTTTACCACTATTAAAAAATTTAAAAAATGTACAAACTAAAACACGTCCCCCAAAATGACAAAATTTATCCAACTTAAATTATACTTCAATATCCTGACTTAAAAAAAAAAAAATTAGAGCCTGCTTAAAAGCTTTCGTTGATTTATTTGTCATCCTTGTTTTGATCTGTTGACTTTAATTTCTTTAGAAAATAAGTTAAATTTCAAATGTTGATATGAACACATGGACGATTAGCCAGGTGGCACGATTCTCTAGCACTTGAGTGGGCTTCTCTGGCTTCTTGGAGAAGCCAAGGAAGTTCAGGGAAGGAAGTTAGGGACTCTTAAGTTCCAGATCTAGCTCTTGTCACATGAGCTGGGATGCGTCAAGGGAAGGCCTCTGGCCTCTGAGAGAAATGACCTGGGTACATGTTGAGTACTCACGAGTGAGCTCAGCAGGTGACGTTGGGATAGAACAATCCAGAACAACTGTACAAAATGAAATAAATTATTTTTTTTTTTTTTTTTTTTTTTTTTTTTTTTTTTTTTTAATATATTTTATTGATTTTTGTACAGAGGAAGGGAGAGAGATAGTTAGAAACATCAATGAGAGAGAGTCATCGATCAGCTGCCTCTTGCACACCCCCTACAGGGGATATGCCTGCAACCACGGTACATGCCCTTGACCAGAATCGAACCCGGGGCCCTTCAGTCCCCAAGCCGACACTCTATCCATTGAGCCAAACCGGTCCCGGCAAAATGAAATAAATTTAAATGCCGAGCAAAGTGGTCCTCAAATGCTCACAGGCTAGTTAGTGCGCTTCTGCCCCAAAGCCAATGTTCTGCCCCAACGTGCTCCTCAGGGCAGCCGGAGAGCACCGGGCACGGGATCCGGCCAAGGATGGCAACAGGTGACTCATCTCTTTGGTGATGCTTCTGCCCGACTGTGCTTAGTCACTGAGCTTGAGCCCAGCCAGCTAATCTCTGCGACCGATCTTCTAGTTGGGAATTTTCTCCACTTTGTAATGAGCGTGGCCCACTCATACACTCGGCGGCTAATGCTTCCAGGACTCCAGCTGGACTTCGATCCTAGTGCCTGTAGGCTGGTGTGGGACCGCAGCCCATCAGACTGAGAGGCACTGCCCTCTGGGATTGGGGGTTATTGGATTGGAATGGGAGGTGTTAGGGAAAAAATATGATCAAGAATGTTTTGAAGGCTTGCCGAAACCAGTTTGGCTCAGTGGATGGAGCGTCGGCCTGCGGACTGAAAAGTCCCAGGTTCGATTCTGGTCAAGGGCATGTACCTTGGTTGTGGGCACATCCCCAGTAGGGGGTGTGCAAGAGGCAGCTGATTGATTATTCTCTCTCATCGATGTTTTAACTCTCTATCCCTCTCTCTAAAAATTCAATAAAATATATTTTTAAAAAAGAATGTTTTCAAGGTCTTGGCCAGTGTGACTCGGTTGGAGCACTGTCCCGTATCCTGAAAGGCTGAAGGACCGATTCCCAGTCAGGGCACATGACTAGATTGTGGGTTTGATCTCCAGTTGGGGCATGATCAGAAGGCAGTTGATCTCTCTCTCTCTCTCTCTCTCTCTCTCTCTCTCTCTCTCTCTCTCTCTCTCTCTCTTCCTCCCTCCCTCCCTCTCTCTCTCAAAGCAAAAGCATATCCTTGGGTGATGATTAAAAAAAAAATAATGCTTTTGCTGAAACCGGTTTGGCTCAGTGGATAGAGTGTTGCCCTGCGGACTCAAAGGTCCAGAGTTCGATTCCGGTCAAGGGCATGCCCCTTGGTTGCAGGCACATCCCCGGTGGGGGTGTGTAGGAGGCAGCTGATGGATGTTTCTCTCATCCATGTTTCTAACGCTCTATCCTTCTCTCTCTCTTCCTCTCTGTAAAAAGAAAAAAAAAAAAGAAAGAAAGAAAAAGAATGCTTTCAAAGATCCCATAGACGAGGTGGGTTAGTAAGGAGCTGAGTCACTGAGTAAACATCCCAGATGCCGGGAACGTGGGCCATATCTTGGAAGCGGGAGAAGGGAGACTGAGCTGCGGGTGGGAATTGAGGGTGCCCACGAGCTAACGGAGAAGGGCTACAGAGTGAAGGC